ATGTGACTTTATTTTAAATGTGTTATGTGACTTTATGTGTGTTATTTTAAATTTTCTTCAAATTTTGAGTAATGTCTTTTATCTTTTGTGTTGTCTTTAATTTTTTATTGATAAAATTTCTCCCGTCTTGAAAAATTGTTTAGAAACTATAATGCTTTGAGTTTCAAAAAAAATTATTGCTTATGAAAATAATTAATAAATTATTTTAAGTTAATAAATTTATAATAATAATGTTTAAAAAAATTATTTTTATTTTATTTTATTATTACTTTTAAGCTTTTGATCAATTTCATAAGTATAATTAATATTAGGGTAATGTATAGATTTTTAAATTAAATCAAATTTATGTTAAAATTATTCATGGATTATAAATAATATACTAGAATCCTTTCAAATCCTGTTCATAAATGCAATAAAATCTCACTAACTCTGCGCAGACTTAAAATAATCCATTGATTTTACAGAATCTATAGATTTTAAACAATCTATCAGAATCTTAGAAAATCTGGATTGAATACACCCCCTAAATTTTTAAAATAGTCCTCTTTAATAAGGTATTTTTCGAAACCAGTTCTCAATAAGTTTTAATTACATATATCATCCTCTGTAATTGAGGTTTATTTCATATTGTAAGGTATTTTGATATTTTTTATCAACTAAATTTAAAATATGTTCTTAAAATGATCATTTTTAATGAAGTACTTTTTCAAATTAGTTTACGAATTAAAGATGAGTATTTGGTTCAAATTTTAAAAGATCTTTTATAGATTTTTTATAATTAATGGATTATGTATAGCTAATGTATTATTTTAATTTTACATTTAATTGTATAGAAATGACTATTTTAGAAATATATTTTAAATTTTGATGATAAAAATGCCAAAATACTCTTTAAATAACTATTTAAGGAATAAATCTCAATTATAAAGAACCATGCAAGTAATATATACTTATCAAAGACTAAATTAGAAAAATATCTTATTACAAATAATCATTTTGAAAACTTACTCCTTAGAAAATGAATGGGCATTATAGGTGGGCGCAAAAACTTCTATTTTCAAAATTATCTCTAAAATCCTCGTTGTTTTTAAATAGTGCATAGACACATCTTCTTACCTATTTTTAGAGTTAAAATGATATTTATACAATTTTCTTTTCCTCTATCTTCAAGTTCCGCTCTTTTACTTTTCTTTTTCCATTTATTATACGGAGTACAAATAAATAAATAAAAAATATACACTCTCTATCTCAAAATTAAAAAATTCATTTGTTTATTTTTTAAAAGAATATATTTTTTTATAAAACGTTACAAAAGAAAATGAAAATGAAATAAAATACACCTTTTTATTTAAAGTAAAAGTAAAATAAATAAAATTAAAAAAGATAACATATACTCACTCTATCTCGAATTAAAATTTTTAACTTTTTTGTTTTTTAAGTGTCGACGATGCCTCTCTGCCACTTCGTTTGCCCTCTCTCTCTCACGCTTAGGGTTGTAAAATGAACGAATAATTTTGATTCAAAAAATAAATACGAATAAAGATATAAACACTTTCTGAGTAAATATAGAGCCGGCCAAAATCAATGATTTGGAGTCCGAGATGCAGACTTTTATTCGATTCTTCAATCTTTTTCAACACCATAACTCTTTGGAGTGTCTGGAGTATGAGATGCAGAGTTCTTCAAGACCAAGTGAATGTGCCTGATAAATACTTCCTCCATCTGTAAAAAAAACTTCCTATTTTGACTTGGAATCAAAATAAGGAAATGTAAAATTATAGTTGACTTTCAATTTTACACCTGATGTGATGAGTAAAAGTAAGATGTGATGGATTGATTATTAGAGAAAAAGTATGATGTGATGGGTAAAGTATAAAAAAGTAAGAGTAAAAGTGGTTTTTTAATAGAAAGTAGAAATATTTTGTTGGAAGTGGAAAAAATGAAAGATGAAGTATTTTTGAGAACGGATGGAGTATAAAGTCAACATTGGATGAGTCGATAGTTTAGTCTATACTCTCAAGAAGATGAAAGATCATAATTGAGAAGAGAACTTTCTTTTGTTTTGGTCCAAGGTCACAATCTAATTCGACTGCCTTAAAGTTATTAAAGCTCTCCAACAGCCATACGTGAATGATATCTCTCGTATTTCCTATATTCTTATTAATTGTAAATCGTTGCTCTTTTTATTGGGAAGAAAACTTTGTTTTATTTTTACTCATCGTTTAGTTAATTCGATTACCTACGCTCTATAGCTCAAGCAACGCGTTCACCTCTCAATCACTGGCAGATCTACTAGTGTGTTAAGGGGGGCAACTGCCCCCATTGAAACTGGCCTTGCAACTTAATTTTGTTTTGTAATTTTGTTTTTTTTTTATTTTAATGGTATAGGATGTGCCCCCAATAAAATCTCCAAGATTCACCATTGCCCCAGCCCCTCTACTTTGATAAAAATGTCAAACCCAACCAATCTTTGAAGATTATAAGTGTGTAAAAAAATCTCTTCCTTAATTAAATTTGTTATAATTCAAACTTTTCATATTCTCTAATTTTAAAACTTTCTTTAGCGTTCGTTAATAGTTGCGTTATCTGCCTAATTATAAATATCTTTTTATTTAAATTTTAGTTATGTTTATTACTCCCAAGAATTCAATGATCCTATACAAGCATAGTTTTCAGAACCGAACCGGTCAAGGCACTGGTTCAGTGGTTTACTGGTCGAACCAGTGGTTCAAGTGGTTGAACCAGTGGTTCAAACATTTTTAATATATATATATATATATATATAGGGATTGACTCCAGTGAGATGACATCTTACGGTGAAATGACATGCTTCGGTCAGATGACGCAAAGCTCACCACACTACACTGCAAAGCTCACCAATGCACAAAGCAAAGCTCACCACTTTGAACCCCAAAACACACTTTTTTTTTAATTTTAAAATTAAAAAATTAATTAAAAATAAAATAACAACTCCGGTCAACCACCGGTCAACGGCGGCGGAGCAGCAGCGGCGGCCGGAGTCCGGCCGCGGCGACCGGCGACCGGCGGCGGCTGCCGGAGATCGGCGGCGGCGACCGGCGGCGGCTGCCGGAGATCGGCGACGGCGACCGGCGGCGGCTGCCGGATATCGGCGACGGCGGCGGTCAATGCTGGCGGTCAACAGTCAAAGTCTTGTCAGCACCCTTCCTTTGATTTTTTTTTTGGAAAAAAATTCAAAGTGTTGAAAAAATGTGGTGAGCTTTTCCTTACACTTTGATGAGCTTTGTAGTTGTCTTTGGTGAGCTTTGCAATGACCAGTGGTGAGCTTTGTGTCATCTGACCGAAGCATGTCATCTCACCGTAAGGTGTCATCTCACTGGAGTCAATCTCATATATATACATATATTATATATATAGAGAGAGAGAGAGACATACACACACTTTTCATTGACTTTAAAAAAACTAATACAGAGTATATGAGTAAATAAAATAATATAGTTCCCCTATTTATAAATAAAGAATTGATGTTTGACTAGATTTATAATTTAATTTAATTTACTTGAGTTGTGTCATTAAATAAAAAATAAAATTTACTTATTTAAAAAATTAAAAAATAAAAAGTGATTTGATTTTTAGTTAAAAAATTATATAGTATATTTTAAAAGTTTTGATAGAGAATATT